ATCAACCATGTGCAGTTGTGATTGCCGCAGGCCAGGTTGACCGAAAGAGGGGGAGCTTCCGATGGGGACACGACGCGACACGTCTGAGGGGTGTGTCAGGAGCCAACGAAATGAGCGTAGTCATCGTGAGCGAGCTGATGAACTCAGCCTACGACTGCATACGGACGTCTTCATTTCGGCCTTCTGTGAAGCTCCTGTGGGGCTTTAAAGCCGTGGCAGGGGCTAGCTATACTACCCCACGACTGCATGCGGACTTTTTCATCTCGGTCTTTTGTGGGGTCCCTGTGGGGTTCGACCGGTGTGGCAAGGGCGTGCAAACTGAACCCACAACTGCGTGCTGACTTTTTCACACTGCTCTTCTGTGCAGCTTCTATGGGACTTGAGAACAGCGTGGCAGGTGCGAGCGAAATGAACCCGCGACTGCATGCGGATTTTCTCATGTCGGCCTTCTTTGGAGCTCCTATGGGGCTCGAGTAGTGTGGCAGGGGTGATCGAACACAGCCCACGACTGCATGCGGACTTTTTCATGTCGGCCTTCTGTGGAGCTCTTTTGGGGCTTGAGAGACGTGGCAGGGGCGAGCGACATGAGCTCAGGAATGCGTGCGGGCTTTTCCATTTGGGTTTTTGGGAGGTTTCCGTGGGACTTGAAACGCGTGGCAATGGCGAGCTACATGGCCCCACGGCAGGATGCATGTTTTTACATGTCGCCCTTCTGTGGAGCTCCTATGGGGCTTCAACAGCTTGGCAGGGGCGAGCGGAATACACGCACGACTGAGTGCGGACTTTTTCATGTCGGCCTTCTGTGGAGTTCCTATCGGGATTGAAAAGCGTGGCACGGGCGACCAACAGGAACCCGCGACTGCATGCACACTTTTCCATGTCGGCCTCCTGTGGAGCTTGAAGAAGCGTGGCGGGGGTGTGCCAGGGCAGAGGGAGGAAGGAGTAGGGGGAGGAGGACAGGGAGGATGGAGAGGGGGGGAAAAGGGGGAAGGAAAAGGGGGAGGAGGACAGGCAGGAGCAGAGGGGGAGGAGGAAGGACAAGGGGGGAGAAGGGGGAAAAGGAGGACGCGGGGCGGTGCTGGTACAGAAGCGGGCCCCAGCAGCGCAGGACGGTTGGGAACGAGCCACCCTCCAGCCATGCAGCCCTTGCAAACCCAATAGAAAAACGAGTGTGCGGGGCGCAGCGGCGAGAGCTGCGTCTTGAGGACGACCCGCCCTCCGTCCGTGCAGCTCTCGCACACGTTTACAGCGAGTGTGCGCCGCGCGAAGGCGAGAGCCACCCCTTGAAAACCACCCGCCCTGCAGCCGTGGAACTGCTTCACACTCGAAGCTTCAGGATCCTCAGCGGTGAGGAAGGCTCGGCCGGAGCGCCTGGCCCGCCATGCCGACACGTCTCGGGAGGAGGAGGAGCAGGAGGAGGAGGGCGAGCACGAGCACGAGCACGAGGACGAGGAGGAGGAGGAGGAGGAGGAGGAGGATGAGGACGAGCACGAACACGAGCACGAGGACGAACACGAGGAGGAGGAGGAGGAGGAGGAGGAGGAGGAGGAGGAGGACGAGCACGAACACGAGGACGAGCACGAGGAGGAGGAGGAGGTGGAGGAGGAGGAACCTCGACCGTCAGCGGGAGGGCAGGCGCCTGCGGCGCGGCGGAGCTGGCGCTGGGGCGCGCTCTCTGCTCCACCACGAGCACCACCACGACCACGTCGACCACCACGCAACCCCGCCCGCCAGATGGCCACGATGATGATGATGATGATGATGGTAATGATGATGATGATGACGATGATGATGATGATGATGATGATGATGATGATGCTGATGATGATGATGATGATAGTGATGATGAAAACGACGATGATGCTGGTGATGCTGATTATGATGACGTCGACGACGGCGGTGACGATGACGCTGATGATGACGACGATGATGACAGTGACGACGATGATGGTGATACAGATCACGATGATGATGATCTGAGTATGATGATAATCATGATATTGACGACGCCGACGCTGATGACGATGACTCTGACGATGATCATTGTGGTGATAGTGGTGATGATGGTGGTGACGATGACGACTCGACGACGACGATGATGATGGGGATGACGACGACGATCTTGATTCCAACGCTTATGATGATGCTACGGATCATGATAGTGCTGATGCTGCTGATGATGATGCTGACGAGTATGATGATGCCGATGATGCTCATGATGATGGTGATGCTGATGACGGTGGTGATGATGATGATGACGATCATGATGATGCTGATGATCATGGTAGTAATATTGACTGTGATGAGTCTGATGATGATGAGGACGCTGACAATGTTGATGATTATGATGCTGATGTCGATGATGACACTGATGATGCTGATGATGCTGATTATGATGATGACGATGATGATGATCTGATGATGATGATGCTTATGATTTTGGTTCGTGAATTGACTACAGGCGGTCCAGCGGAAATCCTGCCCAAATCTTCAAAAAATCTTCGGCCGGAAACTCAAACTCCCAAAAAATGTTAAAGAATCTTGAATGGGAAACTCAAAATCCAAGACAACCTGAGAGAATATCAAACACAAAACCTGGGGAAAACTCACACACAGAAGAAACTACAGGACATCTTGAAGCCGAAACCTGGGAAAAACTCAAACCTTCAAAAAACTTAGAAAAAACCTGAAGCGAAAACCCGGAAAAAAACTCAAACCCGGAATGTTTTTTTGTTTAGAGTTTTTTTTCAAGTTTTCCCAAAGTTTTTTCCAGAGTTTTTCCAGACTTTTTTTAGAGTTGTCAGTCGTTCAGAGTTTTTCCAGAGTTTTTCAAGAGTTTTTTTAGAGTTTTCAGTCGTTTAGAGTTTTTCCAGAGTTTTTTCAGAGTTTTTCCAGATTTTGTTAGAGTTATTTTAAGAGTTAAACAAAAAGTTGTTCCGAAGTTTTTCCGGAGTTTTGCCCAGGTTTCGGCTTAGAGATTTTCCGGAGTTTTTGTTTGGTTTGAGTTTTTCCCAGGTTGGAGCTTCAGGGTTTTTCCTGTGTTTTTGTGGGTTTGAGTTTTTCGCAGGTTCGGTGTTTGAGTTTTTTTTCAGGATGTCGACCTCCCCAGGTTTTGGTTTCAAGATTTCCTGGTGTTTTTTTCTGGTTTGGGTTTTTTGGCCCGAAGTGGTCGTGGACCGCCTGTAGTCGCAATTCACGAACCAAACTTATGATGCTGCTTCCGATGATGGTGATGCTGATGATGATGATGATGGTGATGATGATAATGTTGTTATAGTTGTGGATGCTATTGTCGATGCTGGTGTTAATGCTGATGCTGACGCTGATGCTGAGTTTGCTGCTGACGATGATGCTTCTGATGATGACGATGCTGATGATGAGTCTGCTGCTGCTACTAACGATGATGATGATGATGATGATGATGATGATGATGATGATGATGATGATGGTGATGATGATGATGATACTGATGATGTGATGTGATGTGTGATTATGATGTTGTTGATGATGATGATGATGATGATGACGATGATGATGATGATGATGATGGTGATGATGATGATGATGATGATGATGGTGACGATGGTGGTGGTGGTGGTGATGATGATGATGATGTTGATAATGATGATGATGATTATGATGATGATGATGATGCTGATGATGATGATGTTGATAATGATGATGATGCTGATGATGACGATGATGATGATGATGATGATGATGATGATGATGATGATGATGATGATGATGATGGTGGTGGTGGTTGTGGTGCTGGTGACGATGCTGAGGAGGATGAGGAGGATGACGATGGTGGCGGTTGTGATGGTGAGGAGAAGGAGGAGGGTAAACGTCATGCCTTTTCGCGGTGCCACCGTCGCCCCGCCGCCGTTGTGTCATTGCTTCCTATCTCTCCCCTCAATTGCACCACCTCAATCGTATCCGTCGCTTTCTTCTGCTCCGCCCAGCGGCTGCGGGGAGGGGCGGGAGGGGGGGAAGGGCGGATCACAGCCTTGTGGTACGGTTCTGAGGTCTGCGGCAACTCTGAACGAAGAGGGCCATCGGACGAACGAGTGGGCGAGCGAGCTCACGAGCGAGGCGATGATGACCAGCGCCAGAGGAACGCACGAGCGAGGACGACGATGACAAGCGCCAGCCCGAAGGATGATGGTGACGGGTGGCGATGTGTGAGGCGAGGAATGAGGGGGATGCTTTGGAGCTTTCTTTTGGACATCACCTGATCTAATCTCGTTATCCTTTACGATACCACGTGCGTGCAGTTGGTGGGCAGGGGAAGTAGCAGGAGGCTGAGGAGGAGGAGGAGGTGGCCAGGGCAGAGGAGGAGGAGGAGCTTGATGCTGTAACTCTTCGTCTGTTGCCTCCGCGGGGTGCCACTGTCACCGCGGGTGGATTCGCCCCGAGATCCTGGCGAGCACCTCGGCGCCAGGAGAGTTAGAGGAGTGCTTTTTTTTTCGGGGGGGGGGGGGGAGCGGGATGGGCAGATGGGGGAGCGCAAACACTGCCCGAGGCACACGGAGTGGCGGCGGGTCTTGCCTCCGTGCAGCACTGCCGCGCCCGCCTGTCGCCAGAACATCAGGCGGCACTGGCCTCCTGCCTCGGAGCGCGCAGTCCGCGACCTGTGGAACAGGCGCTCGCGCGCCAGATCCACGGTTCCCCACTGCATGTCAGCGTGTGCTCGAGGGGTGGGGGGGATGAAGGGTTTCGTGCCCCCTCCGCCTACTCTCCCCTCCCCTCTGCCCCCTTCGCTTCTGGGCTATCCTTCGCCAGTTTTGCCTTCGTCGAGGGGCAACGGTGCTGGAAATTCGATGCAACGCAACGTAGGTTGAACGAGGTGTTCCAACCTCGTGAATTTTTCGAGGTTGGAAAAAGCACATGTAGTTTTTGTTTTCCGGCATTCTATTTTCCTAACTTCGTTTCTTCGTTTTCCGTTTCTCCGGTGGAGGGTCCTTCTGTTCTTTCTCCAGCCCGAAGCGCGGGTGTAGGACCGAGACGACCACGGCCACCACCTCGACGACGTCGACGAGGACCGCGCGACTTGACATCTTCGCGGGCAGAGTAGAATCGAGCAACAGCACCAGTACAACCTTTCGCAGGTCCGCCCGGATTTCTCTGAATGGCGCTGGCCCGCCCTGGTAGCGTCTCTGGCTCCGTAGAACTCGCAGGTCAGTCGCAGCGGGAGCGCATATGGGATGATACGAATCCCGCCATGTTTGTACCATGGAGCCTGTCTGAATGAGCACAGCACGCAGCGTGCAGTTGTAACGCGTAGCAGCCGAGCTGCACCACTGAGCGATCGTCCTGCCGCCCTCGGATGTCGCGGGATGCTTGCTCGGCCGCCCTTCCGCCCTCGGGTGCCATGGGATGAGTGCTCTGCCGTTCCTCCCCACTCGGGTGTCACGGGGCGTCGCATCGAGCTCAAATCGAATGTGACAATCTGTTAGCCTGCGTGGGTTCCAAACAGGGAGTTATCCCGCTGTGGATGTGTAAGTTATGTTGTGCAGGTCCTAACCATGTGGTGAAGTATACGTGGTGCAAGCTGGAGGCGGAAGCGCAGCTGCAACGGGCGGCAAGGCGGCGAAACCTCGCGGGACCCACCCAGCGCACGAGGCGGCCACGAGACGGCCACGGGCGGCAGCGTAGAAATTTCTCGCCAGACCCATTCATTTTCCTTGGTGTCAACAGTAAGGATCCGTAAATGCAAGCACTGTTTAGGGGAAGAACTCCGATTATTCTTCCTCCTCCTCGTTCTCTTCTTCCTCTTCCTCTTATGATTAGTTTCCACTTCTCTCTCTTCTCATTCATCATCCTCTTACTCTTCCTTTTCCCTCCTCTTCTCTGTCCTTCTTCTTCTACCCTCCCTTTCATGCTAGTTCTATTTTTTTCCATGCGCCCTTCTCCTCCTCGTCTTACTCTAGACGCTTCGCGTACCCCCACGAGCCCACCCAGAAACGATGCCCAGGCGAGTTGCCTGGATCAGGGATGTGGAGGAACATACAGTGGAATAGAGGGCTGGAAACAACGATATACCCCAAAAGGGGAGGAGGTATGAGGAATCGGAGGAGGAGGAGGAGGAGGAAGAGGGGAGGAGGAGGAGGAGGAAGATGAGGAGGAGGAAGAGGAGGAGGAGGAGGAGGAGGAGGAGGAAGTGGAGGAAGAGGGGGAGGGCGAAGGGGGAGGAGGGAGGAGGGATGAGGGAGGAGGAAGGTGGAAAAAGGGAGGAGGGAGGAGGGAAGAGGGAGGAGGGAGGAGGAGGAGAGGGGGCGGAGGAGGAGGTGGAGAAGGAGGCGGAGGAGGATGAGGATGAGGGGGGGGGGGAGGAGGGGAAAGGGGGAGGGAGGGGAGGAGGGAGGAGGACGGAGGGAGGATTGAGGGGGGAGGAGAGAGGAGGGAGGAGGGAGGAGGGAGGAGGGGGGAAGAGGAGGATGATGAGGAGGACGGGGAGGAGCAGGAGGAGGAGGTGGAGGAGGAGGAGGGGAGGAGAAGGAGGATGATGAGGAGGAGGAGGAGGTGGAGGAGGAGGAGGAGCAGGAGGAGGAGGAGGACGAGGAGGAGGAGGAGGAGGAGGATGAGGAGGGGGGCGAACAGTATGGCCACATGTCTCTTGGATGCCTCTCGGAGTCTCGTCGGATGCCTCGTGACAGTTTCTGGGAGTTCTCTTGGCGCGTCTTGGGGGCCTTTCGGCGGTCCTGGAGGCTTCTTGGAGCGTCCTGGGTGCCTCGGGGGAGCCTGTTGGGGCATCTTTCTTGGGGGTCTCTTGGGAGCCTCTTGTGGACCTCTTGGGTGCCTCTCGCGGCTTCCCGACCGCCCCCTGGGGGGCTCGGGGGCCATCTTGGGGGCCATCTTGGGGCCATCTAGGAAGAGATCGATGCAAGAGTGGAGGGGGGTAAATGATATTCCTCCCCCATGAGGCCAACATTGGCCCAATACCTAAGTCACATCAATAATTTTTGCCTTATCGCCGAGGCCGTCTTGGACGCTCCAACGTGTCGCGACCTGCCCTTCAGACCCAGTGGTATGGAGTCGGGGGAGGGGTACCCCCGTCCCCAAATTGGAAGGGGGTTGACCTGGCTGAACTACTCACACCCTAAAGGGCTGGTGGGATTCCTCCTCTCACTCCTTCCTCCTATGCTTCCTTCTCTTCCTCCTCTTCTTCTTCTTCTTACTCCTCTTTCTCCTCCTCTTCCTCCTCCTCCCCTCTCCCTCCCTCCCTCCCTCCCTCCCTCCTCCTCCTCCTCCTCCTCCTCCTCCTCCTCCTCCTCCTTCTCGTCACCATAGCACCTGCCCTCGCGCGTTCCCTCGCGCTCGGAGGACGCACACTTCCACGACCACTACCACGACCACCAGAACGTCGAGCAACCTGGAGAGTGGGTTAGACAGGAGGAGGGATGGGGAATGTGAGCATGGGGGAAGGCTGGGGAGGCGGAGGAGAACGAGGAGGAGGAGGAGGTGGTGGTGGAGGAGGAGGAGGAGGAGAAACGCTGCGAGTTGCGTCGCTCAGAGTCTGGCCAACGCAACAGGAGGGGGAGGAGGAGGGGGAGGAGGGGGAGGAGGATAGGGATGACGAGGAGGTTGAGGAGGAGGAGGAGGATGAGGAGAACGAGGAGGAGGGATAGATGCGGCGATCGATTCGACAAACGCTGGTGTAAGTAATGTGTAAGAGAGGGGAAGGAGGGGGGGAGGACGGTGGGAGGGAGAGAGGGAGGGAGAGCGGGGTGGGCGTGGAGGGGGAGGAGGAAGATGAGGAGTGAGAGAGTGTAGTTGGTGAGAACGGGAAGGAAACGGATGATCAGGAGCAGGGGACAGTTATGCTGGTAGCCACTGCGCAGCTGGGCACGGAAGCAAGCTACCAGTCCGATTAGGCTTGAGCAACAATTCGTGCAAGCTCTGTTGAGCCGAATCGGCACGAATAACACTTGAGAGCACAATAATGAAGCAGGAACTCTAATATCCTCAAGCGATACAGCATGCTGGATTTAGGTGAAGTGTCGTCTTCTCAGACGAGGTTGAAACGCCACCGGTGACAGCTATCATGCTCTGCACATTTTGGTCCACCTCGGCGAGAGGAATCTTGCCTTCCGTCAACCATTGCACCAGCTCTTCCGCCCGCTCCGCATTGGCTCTGAAGATCCTCGATCTCTTATTCTCAGCGGGCGGCGAACATTCGGAGGCACCATGCGTTACAGCGGAAATGGCTGTGTATTCATCGGTGAGATAATCATCGCCTTCAGGAACAACTTCAGGCTCACGATCAGCACCTCCAGCCACCACTGAGAGCACCACGCTGACTCCATTCTTACTACGAACAGCATGATCAGGCATGCCGTCAGATCCAGGCATGCGGCCAATAGCTCCCACCTCCAGATTACACTGTACAGACCATATGGCCTAATGACAATCATTAGTATGCAGACGAGGTTGCCTCATACATCAGAGTGCGCAGACCAGGCTGCCTAACTCTTGACACTTCGCGTATCCCCATCAGCGCGGTGGCTTCTTCTTAGATCGTAATTTAGATCGTTGCGTTGTTGCTTCGTTTCTTGACGGCGCGCAGTTGCTCTGTGTCACTCGCAAGAAAAAGTATCCCCATCAGCCCATCCAGAAAGAGATCGCCAGGCGAATTGCCTCGATCAGGGAAGTGTAGAAAAATACAGTGCATCTTGGGTCTCTCTTGGGCTCCTCGCGGAGCCACTTGGGGCACTCCTGGGGCCCTCTTGAGGCTCTCTTGGGGGTCTAGGGGCCCTCGTGAAATGAGGGACCCCCCCCTGCACACCCCCTGCGGCGTGGAGGAAGTGCCACGCCTGCCACGTCCCGCGACCCTGGGACGGATATAGACTGCGGCGAGGGACCACCCATTCGCACCCCTTTTGGCGTGGAGAAACTGCCACGGCTGCCGCGCCCCGCGACCTTGAGACGGATAGAGACCGCGGTGAGGGACCACCCCTTGTGCACCCTTTGCGGTGTGGAGAAGATTCCACGCCTGCGGCGCCCCGCAACCCTGACACGGATGGGCACCGCGGCGAGGGGCCACTTCTTGGCCATCCCCTGTGGCTTGGAGAAAATGCCGCCCTTGCTTGGCTTTGCGATACTTGCGCGTGTGAGTGTGTGTGTGTGTGTGTGTGTCCAAGGAGTAGAAGTCGACCAGCTGGCGCGTGCACTGGGGAGGGCGCGCGCGTGCAATGCTCGAGCATGGCATTTCATCGCCGCGCCCTCAATGGTCAGCAGGTGCCGGCAAGAGTCGCTGTCTTGTCGCCTCGGCCGGTCTGCCACGCGCGGCGGTGTGTAGCAACACCAGTGGCAGGTCGAGTCGGGGGCGCACACCTCGTGCTGCAGGTGAGGCGTGTTGCGCTTCCCCGCCAGAGCCCAACGTAGACCATCGGCACCGTCACCGTCCGCTTCGACGGCATCTTGGCTCGCCAACTTCGAGTACAACTTCGGCTAGTACACCATCATACCTACTAATACGCTTCTTACGCAAAGCTTTGCAACCAGGAAGGTCTCGTGATCTTGTCAAGCGTGTGTGTGCGCGTCTGATATGTGCACGAGCGAAGGGGAGGAAGGAGGAGCAGTTTGTGTGTCCTTCGCGGGTGCGATGCATGTGTGCTGTGTGTATGTGTGCTGTACGTGTGCTGTACGTGCGTGTGCTGTATGTGCGCATGTTGTACGTTTGTTGTATGGATGAGGGGTGGCGAAAGGTGTGTGAACTGTGTGGGTGCGCGAGGTTCGCTGATGTGTTTGTGCTGCGTGTCTGGTTTATGATGTGTGTGTGTGCGCGGATGATGTATCATGTGGTTGCGTGCGTTGTGTAGCAGGAGTATGATGAGGTGGAGGTCAATGTGAAGGTGAATGTGGAACGTGATGTTGAAGGTGAAGGTGAAGGTGAAAAAGGTGAAGGTGATGTGTGCGTGTGTGCGCGTGCGTGTGTGCGCGCGTGTGTGCGTCGGGTCGTCGCGGGGGGGGGGGGCGCGGCTGAGAAGAAAACCACAAACCCGCGACACATTTTGGCAAACACCAGTGCGAAGTGGTTGCGGGGCGCCCGCGCGTAATGCAGATTTGCACGCGCATCTTTTTTTTTCCAACCCTCCTGTGTTGGGCGCTCGTTTTGAATGGAGCAGTGTGGTCTCCCCGTCCTGCTCCTCCTCCCCTCGCCTCCCCTCCTCCTCTCCTGTCTCCTGTGTTCCCCTCTCCTCTTCTCTCGTGCCGTCGGGCTGCGATTTGCGCAACTGTCGCCACTTTCGTGGGCTCCTGGGAGGCCCAGCGGGGGTGCGTCCCACGCGGGCCACCTCGAGAACTCGCGGTGCCCTGGGGGCTGCGATCTGCGCAACTGTCCCCACTTTCGTGGGCTCTTGGGAGGCCCGGCGGAGGTACGTCCCACGTGGGCCACCTCGAGACCTCGCGGCGCCCTGGGGGGCTGCGATCAGCGCAACTGTCGCCGTTTTCGCGGGCTTCTGTGAAACCCAGCGGAAGTACGTCCCACGCGGACCACCTCGAGACCTCGCGGCGCCCTGGGGGGAGGTGGGGGGGCTGCGATCTGCGCAATTGTCGCCACTTTCGTTGGCTTCGGGGAGGCCCAGCGGAGGTACGTCCCACGCGGACCACCTCGAGACCTCGCGGTGCCCTGGGGGGTTGCCATGGTTGCAACTGTCGCCACTTTCACGGGTTCGTGGCGGGCGGGCCGCCCGGGAGGTGTAACGTCCCACGCGGACACACCTCGAGACCTCGCGCGCCCTGGGGGGCTTGCGCATCTGCGCCTTTCGTGGGCTCCTGGGAGGCCCAGCGGAGGTACGTCCCACGCGGACCATCGAGAACTCGCGGCGCCCTGGGGGGACTGCGATCTGCGCAACTGTCGCCACTTTCGTGGGCTCCTGGGAGGCCCAGCGGAGGTACGTCCCACGCGGACCACCTCGAGACCTCGCGGCGCCCTGGGGGGCTGCGATCTGCGCAACTCGCCACTGTTCGTGGGCTCCTGGGAGGCCCAGCGGAGGTACGTCCCACGCGGACCACCTCGAGACCTCGCGGCGCCCTGGGGGGGGGGGCTGCGATCTGCGCAAGCTGTCCCACGCGCTCGAGACCTCGCGGCGCCCTTGCGATCTGGCAACTGTCCTGGGAGGCCCAGCGGAGGTGCGTCCCACGTGGAGCTGCGATTTGCGCAACTGTCACCACTTTCGTGGGCTCCTGGGAAGCCCAGCGGAAGTACGTCCCACGCGGACCACCTCGAGACCTCGCGGCGCCCTGGGGGGCTGCGATCTGCGCAATTGTCGCCACTTTCGTGGGCTCCTGGGAGGCCCAGCGGAGGTACGTCCCACGCGGACCACCTCGAGACCTCGCGGCGCCCTGGGGGGCTGCGATCCGCAACCGTCGCCACTTTCGTGGGCTCCTGGGAGGCCCAGCGAAAGTAAGTCCCGCGCGGACCATCTCGAGAACTCGCGGCGCCCTGGGGGGCTGCGCTCTGCGCAGCTGTCGCCGCTTTCGTGGGCTCCTAGGAGGCCCAGCGGAGGTACGCCCCACGTGGACCACCTCGAGACCTCGCGGCGCCCTGGGGGGCTGCGATCAGCGCAATTGTCGCCACTTTCGTGGGCTCCTGGGAGGCCCAGCGGAGGTACGTCCCACGCGGACCACCTCGAGACCTCGCGGCGCCCTGGGGGGCTGCGATCAGCGCAACTGTCGCCACTTTCGTGGGCTCCTGGGAGGCCCAGCGGAAGTACGTCCCACGCGGACCACCTCGAGACCTCGCGGTGCCCTGGCGGGGCTGCGATCTGCGCAATTGTCGCCACGTTTGTGGGCTCCTAGGAGGCCCAGCGGAAGTACGTCCCACGCGGGCCACCTCGAGACCTCGCGGCGCCCTGGGGGGCTGCGATTTGCGCAACTGTCGCCTCTTCCGTGGGCTCCTGGGAGGCCCAGCAGAGGTACGTCTTACGCGTTGCCGCTGCCTTGCTGCGCTCTTCTGAGTTCTTCTTCCGCACTGCGGGTTTTTCAGCATTCCCGTCAGCATCGAGTGGTCCCGAATGGAACCACCACATGTATAGAACGAGTTGGGTACGTCGCAGGGTAATGTACTTTTTGACAGCGATGGTGGGTGGTTGTTGGCATTGGGGCGGTTTGGCTGCTGGTCGTCTGGGTGTGTGTGTGCGTTTTCAAACTGTGGAGCCGCGATCAAGCCCCCCCCCCAGACGCAAGCTGTTTGGCCTGCCCCCATCGGACCTCCCAACGCAGAAGTAGTACCCGAGCCTCAGCATGTTCAGCGGTCGTGATTGGATCGGCGGCTACTGGGAACCAATACGGGCCCCAGGAGTGCGATGCTCGGGCCAGGTGCGCCGTGCGCGCCATGCGCGCCACGCGTGCTAGGCGCGCCGGGTGCCCCTCGGGCCCAAGCGTGCCAGGCACGCCTGACGCGTCAAATGTGCCACGTGGTCCACGTGCGCCAAATAAGCCGCATGCTCCGGCCGCGCCAGGTACGCCACGTCTGGGGCACGTGCAGAGTGTGCTAGGCACGCCCGCGCACATCGGGAAACATGTCGGCCAGCTTTCCATCCGTGTCGAGCGCTGGTGTCCAGTCGCGGCGGAGTGGCCATCATGATGTCTGGTGGGCCTGCGCACGGCTGGCAGTATGCCAGCACCCCCGCCGTCCGTGTTTAAAAGCAAATTCACCGTTTTCGCGGGGTTCCCGTGCATGATCAATATCTTGCCGCAGAGCATTTTACATGGTTTTCTGACAGGGGTGGCGAGGTGTCGTCATTGGCACTGGTATGTCGCTGATCGGATGGGGGAGGGGGTGTACAGTCATAAGGAGCAGTAATCAACCCATGCCCGAAGGAGAAAGAGGGGGGTTGGAAGAGGAAGTTGTCTCAAGCACTCACGCCCACACGGCTGGTGGGATTCAACTGATCAGACCAAGCTGCAATACCAAAGCCAAATTGTACAGACCAAGGCCAAGCTGCTTTGAAAGCCATATTGTGCAAACCTGGCTGCTTGTTAAAATCCTATGAGGCCAGGCGGCCTACTCAAAATCCAATTGCATGGACAAGGGTGCCTCATCAAAATCCCATTGTGCAGACCAATCGACCAGATCAAACTCATGATTGCACAGATTAGGCTGCTGAATCAAAATCCGTAGTGCAGACAAGGCTGCCTCATTCAAAACGATTATTGTGCAGGACAGCCTGCCCTTTATAGTCCTTTCACGCTGCAGGGAAACTGCGGACGGAATCGGAAGGCGATGACAAATGGTGGCGCATGTGTCCGTGAGAAGGACGGGGAGAGGTAGGGGTGGAAGAAGGAGACGCGGGTGTGACGCGGGCGGGTCCTCTTCTTCGTCCTTCTCATCCTCCTCCTCATCTTCCCCATCCTCCTCCTCCTCATCCTCCTCCTCCTCATCCTCATTTCCTCCTCTTTTCCTCCTCTTTTCCTCCTCCTCGTCCTCCTCCTCCTCCTCGTCCTCCTCCTCCTCCTCCTCCTCCTCCTCGCTCCTCCTCCCGCGCGTGGGGATGCAGCGCGTCTCGCCCCTTCCGCCGCCAGGTACGCTCACCACCTCCACCACTTCCACCACGCTGCCCCTCCTGTGGGCGCGGCCCGCGGAGGGCGGCGGCCCCGGCGGGAAGCGCGTGATGAAGGGCATCAGCTACGCCCCGGTCCCGATCAG